CATGGCAATTTTTTGTGACATTAAGATTTGGAAGAACCGTTTTCAAAGGCTTAGATTCATATTTGCCAAGCTGTCTTCCTTTCTCAACCACGGTTAGGGCCCTACCAAATTCACGGCCACCAAAAACACATCCCAGACCATGAAATCTGGTCTTTTGTGTGCTATACTATACGGATTTAACAGGGGAGACTAGTGTTTTTCAAGTTTTTTGGGATCTTGACCCAAAAGGGAGTTGCAGGGGGGGTCACAAGGTTATATTAGGGGGGTTGCAGTATTGCCACCCTTACTTCTGTGCTGACTCAGAGCTGGGCAGCTGGAGAGCGGCAGCTGCAGGCTGGGAGCCCAGCTTTGAAGGCAGAGCTGCCGCCAGCAGAAGTAAGGATGACATAGTATGGTATTGCCACCCTTACTTCTGTGCTGCTGCCTTCAGAGCTGGGTGGCCGGACAGTGGCAGCTGCTAACCGAGGGCCCAGCTCTGCGGGCAGCAAAGCAGAAGTAAGGGTGGCAATACCATACCATGCCATCCTTACTTCTGCGCTGCTGCTGCTGGCATTTCTGGACTCCTGGCCTGCAGCCGCTGCTCTCCAGCTGTCCAGCTGTGAAGGCAGCAGTGCAGAAGTAATGGTAGCAATACCGCAACCCGCTCTACAATAACCTTGTGGACGACACCCCCCCCCCCCCCCATAACTCCTTTTTGGATCAGGACAATGGGGACTACGCTTCCCTACAATAACAACACGTGAAATTTTAGATTTAAATAGCTGAAATAATGAAATTCATGATTTTTAAAATCCTATGACCATGAAATTGACCAAAATGGGCCATGAATTTAGTAGGGCCATAACCATGGTATAACTTTTAAAATGTATTGTACTTCTGTATCAGGGCTTGATCCTACCCAGGGCAGGTGGGATAACACTAATGGATGGGATCCTAAATGGCACTGAACATAGTACGGCAATCCTGCTGGTGCAGCTCTCCAGATGTGCCAGGTGCAGAGAGCTACATACGCATGGCCGCCATGCAGCAGAGCCGTCCAGAAACACCCACACTCTCTAGGAGTGTGCAAAGACTGTTATGGATGTGTGATCCAGGAGGCTGCAGGAACTGGAATTTTGGTTTCCAAACTACATTTTCAAAATGTTACCTTAGTGTGAAAATAGTGTGTTCTGAAAACTAAAATTCATTAACTCTTTAAGGTAGACATTTATGAATGACCACATAAGCAGGTTCTTAACTTAAAACATGTGCATACACCCCATTGAAGTAAATCCCTTCCCAATTGCTATGAAAGTGAGTGGGACTATCTGCATGAGTAAAACGAGCAGAATTTGAATCTATATCAAGATTTCAGTTACTGTCACTCTCATTATAATAAAAACATCAAAATTTATGAAAAATTAAGCACCAATCAATTGCAAGTATAATCCTCTGAGAAATCATGGAAATTCCCCTTGTAAACAGGGATGAAACTGAAGATGAATGAGTTGAAGGAAGGGAATGCCACTCCCTTTGTTAAAATAAAATGTGGCTGTATATATATAAAATGCAATTAGGAAGAGATTAGAAAAGAAATCAAGTTCCATTTGCTACAGGTTAACACTTTTCTTATTGAAATAGAATTATTATGCTTTTAAGCATCAAGAAAACAAAGCAGAGATATAAACCTCATGTTAATTAAAAATGCTTTTCTCTGCTTGGCTGTTTAGTCTAGCTGTCATTTGTTGCATCTTATTCATTCAAGAAAGCACTTAAACTAGTGCTTAAATTCCTCTCTGTTCAACTTTAGCACTTAAGTGCTCTCCTGAATGAGATAATAAAAACCGATCAGTTGGTACCAATTATCTTATAGGACCTGAGTGTTCAGGAAATTCACACCAGTGTAACTATTATCACCAGTGCAAAGTCCTAAAGTATATACGCTGCATCAACACAAATATACCGTGTGGTGACTGCATTGGAGTTATATGGAGTGTGATTTGTATCTGGTTTTCTTTGGGGGGGGGGGAATCACTCACTCAATAGGATTCTATTTAACTGGGGGTTAAAAAAATAGTTTTAAGTGCATAATTTAAAATTTAAATCTCCAGTCAGTTTTAGGGAGGGAATTTCTTTAATGTGATCCACTATCAATTAGTGCATAGTGCATGCTTGGAATATTTTGACAGGTTTCAACAAGCATTTTTAAAAAAAAATTCCAAGATTAGCATTGCCTGTAGCAGGAAAATGTTACTTAATATGCGTGTGTACCAAATGCGTAAATTAATAAGTAATTAATTCAGGTTTGCAATTAATCCAATGTATTCTAAATATATGGTTGTTCTATTATGTTTTGTGCTTTTTGCTATTATATGATATATAATCAATTCATCCACCCGAAGGGTGACTTTTTTCAAGATGGAATAAAGCCACTTATCTCCCTGTTGTTTTGCTAACAGTCAGTGGCAAAATTACTGCACACATGCAAGAGTTAGGAATTCATGTGTTCCCCTGCTAGCTGCTTCCACAAAATGTTTTTGTTATTTATGCAATACTCAATGGGGCTTCTAAATGGAAAGAGGGGGGGAGGAAATCTCCATGGTAAGACTCAGCAGGATAAGAGGAAAACTTCTTTGCTCAGCCTTTGAACATATGCAGAGTCACTGAAACAAAAATTTGCAGCATAAGCAACAGGTCTGCTGTCCAATCCAAAAATCTGCGGTTTGGCAGCTACATATGTTTTCTCTCTTGTTAGCAATGCAGCTTGTTGAAATAAATCAGATTTCTACTATAAATAAAGAGCATCAAAATACAAAAGGGTGAAATCTTAGCCCCGCTGAAGTAAATGGTAAAATTCAAATTGATTTCACTAGAGCCAGGATTTCACCCAAAGGTGCTGGTCCTGCTCTCCTCTAAGTCAGTGGGTTCACTGGGAACAGAATCATGCCCAAACTTTTCAACATGTGACAGTCAGCTGGGAAAAATATTACCCCTTTCAAGTGCCCTCCCAATACCACCAGGGTATTAACTACCCTTAGCTGCATTAATCCCTGCTAATGAGGATGATCAGCCAAAATACCATACAGCTCAGATGCACCTCCTTACACCAGGCTGAATTTGGTCCAGCAAGACTCAATATATTTTAATATTTAAGTATAACCCTAAAGGAACTTTTTTCAGCATAGCAGCCTTGTTAGTCTGTATTTGCAAAAAGAAAAGGAGGACTTGTGGCACCTTAGAGACTAACAAATTTATTTGAGCATAAGCTTTCGGGAGCTACAGAATGCATCTGATGAAGTGAGCTGTAGCTCCCAAAAGCTTATGCTCAAATAAATTTGTTACTCTAAGGTGCCACAAGTACTCTTCAAGGAACTATATGTCCACATTAATTATTTCAGGGAGAGTTCCCTACAAGTTCTAAGCTGGTTACTCAGAAACCACAGGTAATTTTCATACTCAAACACACCATTCAAGCATTCCATGTTTCTTTTACTCTTGCATTAGTGTGTGTGTGTTGGAGAGAGAGATCCATAATCAGAATTAGTCAGCGAGTCTTTAAGTGCCCCAGACCAACAGTGAAATCTGCCCTTTGAGATGTCTCTGCATAACAGATGACATACATATGCAATGAGTAACACAGCAGAGCCAGTGTGAAGCTTCTGCAGTTTATATCCCACCCCCACCACTTGCATAACTGGCTCCTTTGATAGCTACCGCAGTGCTGAACTAAAAGCCTAAAAGCCATCAGTGTGTGACCTGAACGGAGAAAACTTCCAGATCTGAATAAAAACAGGAAACGACACAAAAGATCTACCCTGCCGATACTGAGTGGCCACGTGAAAGCACAGAGCATGAAATACTTGCAGCACAGTATACACAACAACATAGCCTAGAAAATCTCCTACTTATCTCTATGCACAACTAAGTAACACATTTTTAATGTCAGGTTTCAGAGTAGCAGCCGTGTCAGTCTGAATTCGCAAAAAGAAAAGGAGGACTTGTGGCACCTTAGAGACTAACCAATTTATTTGAGCGTAAGCTTTCGTGAGCTACAGCTCACTTCATGGGATGCATTTGTGTCACGTTTTAGGGGAAGAGCTAGAAAAAAGAATCTGGCATATTGTTTGCTATTATATACCTGCGGAAACATAATTAATACCCTCTCTAAAACAGAAAATGCATGCAGCATGCAAAACATGCAAAGAGCTAGCTGAAGAAAAGATACTCGAGGATTTAGCTTCAACAGGCGATAAACAGCTAACCAGTGCCTGAAGGGTTACATCGTTCTGGACCAAAGGTTTTTATCTCATCCTGTGCATTTTCACAGTCATGTTTATTTATCATTTCTTGCGCCTACCGCTGTGGATTTCAGATTACTCTGCTTCCGAGCCTTGCTAGGCAAATCTGCTTTAGCAACCCACATGCATTTCACCATGTTACTTCCGCGATGAATTCGCTTTACTTTCAGACGGATGATCAATGTCGCCTCAGCTGAATGCAGCTACAATTAATGGCTATTTTTCACTAGCTGCCTTACTGATCAGACAAGCTGCCGGCTGCGTCTGGCAACACGTTGCACCTACGCCCTCCATCTCAGGTGCATAGCACTAGAGCGAGTGCATGGGGGAAAAACACCCTGATTCCCAGCTAAGGAAGCTGGCGAGCACTCGGGAGCACAGCGTATAAGGGAGACGGCATTACTCAATGGGACTGTGAATGCGTTCAACAAACCACTGGCTGGAGGGACTGAATGCTGAGCGTCATGTTTTGCACGCTAGGAATCCCCCTAATGTTTCCCGTTTACATGCAGTCAACGTGGGAATAAACCGCTGTGGCATCAGGGCATAGTAAGCCTATTGCAATGACTTTCCACACAGGGGATTTGAAGACCCTCCCCAGTCCCCGCACGCAGCCAGGGCTTTATCAGACGTTCACCAGCTTTGAAAAACAATGTTGTGTCTTTGCTTTAAAGGGGGAGGCTTATGGTCCCATTGCTGTAGATCGTTATGGGGATGACTGACCGCCCGTGGAAATCTGCTCCACTCTCTGTCACCTTGCGCAGCCATCGGCGCCAGTGCGCGGTGCTGCTCTGCAGACGCCGACCTGCCAGCGTCTCCCACCCGCTCGGGGCTGGCTGCAGGGCGGCTGAGCCACGGCTCCTCCGCACGGCCACAGGAGGGGGCTTTGCACTACGTCTCTCCACCCGCGAGGCGCTGCCGGTGAGACTGGCCCCGGGCTCTGGGCAGGGTGCGCCTGGGCCAGCTTTTTACGGCGGGTGCATCGTTGGAGGGGAGGGGGATTGCGGCGATTTAACTAAACTCCACCGGTGGGCGATGGTTTGGCCAAGGCTCCTTCAGCGGAGAAGGGGGGGGGGGGCTGGTTTGGCCAAAGCTCCTCCCGGAGGCACTGGAGGGATTTGATGGACGCAGAGGGGAGCAGCGGAGCTACAGCCCTGGCTGGGGTGGGATGTTCGGGGCGAAGCTGCTCCAGCCAGGGGGGAAGGGGAGGTTCGGGCGGGTGCCCGGCTCCAGTGGAGATGGCGGGGCGAGATCGGGGCAAGGGGGCGGGGGGGATTCCCCCCTGCGGGTGCCCGTGCTGCCCCCGGCTCACTCACCTCGCTCCCCAGCCTGGATGGCGCGCACGATCTCGTCCAGGTCCAAGTACCGGCCGCTCTCGTCGAAGCTGTGCACGGCCATGGGGAACGCCTCCTCCTGGAAGACCACATGCACCCCCTCCATGGTGAAGTAGCAGTTGCGCTCCTGGTTGTTGTCGCTGTAGAGGAGGGTGGCCCGGCTCCACTTGTGGTGCCGGAACAGGGCCAGGAACATCTCGCCCATCTTGGAGTAGGCGGGCGAGACCCGGGTCAGGTGCGAGAACTCGCCCGTCCGGGTGCTGAAGCCGGTGGCCAGCGCCCCAGCCGAGATCATGGGCAGGTTCCAGTGGGAGGCCAGCCGGGCCACCGGGGCAGCCGCGTACTCGCAGACGGGCCCCAGCAGCAGGTCCGGTTTCTGCTGCTTCAGGGCCACCAGGTCCACCAGGCTGAAGAGCGCCCGGTTGCCACACTCGGAGTCCTCGTAGATGAGCTCGAAGCGGTAGCCCGGCAGGCAAGTCCCGTTCTCCTGCAGGCTCCGCACGGCGTACTCGATGGCGGGCTTGACCCTGGCCAGGGAGAACAGGTAAGAGTTGTCCTTGGGCAGCAGCACCAGGACCGTGACCAGCTTCTCCTCGTTGGGGCTGCTGCTGGTGCTGCTTGCCAGGAGCATCCAAGCCACCAGGATGCAGGGGACGCTAAGTAAGAAGAAGGATGGCATTGTTTCAATAGCAGTGAGCTCCCTCCCCCCTCTCGCCGCTGTCTCCGAGTCCCCCTGGGTGCCCTGCACAGAACAAGAAAGTGCTACCAACCTCCTCCCCCTGCACACTTTAATACAGAGATCAGTAGCCCGTGGGGTTAGAAGGAGCTGCTGGTTTTCTCTCGGTTGTTGGGTGGCTGATTTTTTAGGGTGTTTGGCAGGTTAACTAACTGTCCCAGCAACTTGTTATTTGTGGGGCATCTTCCTCCCCCACGCTCTGCCTCCTGGCTGATCTTATGGATCCTCGCTGGTCTATAGCCCTCTGTTTAAATAGTGTGGGAGCCAACGCGCCTGTTGCCACACATGGCGCTGCGAGGCCGGGTTTGTGTTTGGGGAGGAGTCGTTCATTAACATTCCTGCAGGGCTGATCCGCCCCTCCGCCCCCTTCCCCCCCCCAAACAAAATCCCGGGCCCCCCACCCCGCCGCCCCTCTTCCTGTAACCAACCCACATCTCGCCCAGGGGCGCTCTGATGAGCAATGGCTGCAAAGGGCACTGCAAACCTGGAGGAAGGGGAGAAGTGGGTAGGAAATAAAAAGACCCCGCTCGGCTGCTGCTTGCCTGAGAAGTCGCGCTCACCCTTGCAATCCGGACTTTGAAAATCCCCTCGATGCGATTGTTTCTTTTCCCACCGTGCACGTGTCATAGCAGGGCGTGCAAAAGACCCGTTTAAAATCAGGACCTGGAGATGCAGCGAGCTGACTCGTCCTGCTGTAACTCTGGATGCGGAGCGACCTAGGGCAGCGCACGAGACCCCTCGTGTCCCGGAGCTAAAGCGCCGTGTTTTAAAAGCCCTGCTTGCAGGATTGGGAGCCGCCCTCCGAATGAATGAATTCCCCCACCCCTACTTGAAATGGCCCTTTCATTGCAACAGCGGGTGAGGCGCCCCTTTAATGCTGCTGCCCCTGCTGAAAGGGGAGCGTTCCTGGCTCCCCTCCGGGTAAAAGCCCCGCGCCGCTATTCTACAGCAGTGGAAGGTAGCACGCATGCTAGTATCAGCCTAGGAACTGGAAGGGAGAGGACACAGTAGCTCCCCCCCCCATGCAGAATCCCAGACAGTCCGGCAGTATTCTCCTTGGCAGGTTGTTACTGCGTCAGGTGAGCCACATGGACTCCGGCTGAGTGGTACCTTAGTGCAGGAGCATGAATGGAACAACGCCTGGTGTAATGTACAACTCAGCCTGAATGGGTGATGGACTCAAAGCATAAGCCCCGGATTTCTTACTGGGTGGAGCAGTACCTTACTCCTCAGGCAGGCTCATGGAAAGCAGTGGACTACCAATGTGGGTAAAGCTAGCAGAATCTGTGCCCCTGCCTGTTCTGTGGCTGGGGGCAGGAGGTGGGGTAAGAAACTCTTCTAGTTTGCACAGCCTCCATGGGGAGGGGTATAACTAGCACTCAGTGATGCCCAGAGGATACTTCCAGGGAGTAGGTAGGACTTTGGCTGTGCCCCACATAAACTGTCCAGCAGACCTGATCGGCAGCATGCAAGAAGCATATTGCCTCCTTTAAGGGTACGTACAGTAGTATATTAAATGCTCCCAATCCCCCCATGCAACTAGGGAGCTCTGGGATACATTGTGCCACTCTGGTGTGGCCCCTAGAACAGAGCAACTCCGCACTGCCCCTCATTACAGGCTGGGCTTAACAGGCACAATTTAATTCTGCAGAAGACTTAGTGTGCCCCAGTAAATAAAGTGTGTAATTAAAAGCAAAACAAAACTCATTTTTCAGTGATATTATTTCATTTGAAAGACCTTGTATTCGGAGAATTGTGTTTGTTTAACATTGTTTTGGTGTGAAAAATTCACTTGTTAAGTAATCTGGGCACCACTCTCTGACTAATTTACTTAGCTATTGCCATGGTAAAAAAAAAAACCACTTGTTTTTATATGTATTGCTAACAAAGCAACTATAACTTCTGAATTTTTGGAAATGCCACTTGAAAATGGATGATCATTTTCTGAATAAGAAACTATACTCAACATTACATATTGAAAAGAGTTAAAAATGATATAGTGAAGGAGGATACAAGGAGAATGGAGAGGGGGACTAACTGCATTCATTATTTGCAACTGTGAAATCTCTGTGGATTCTGCATGTTCCATAATGGTCAATGGTCCACGTCTGCACACACACAGTAATCCTGCACAGTTTGACATTTTATGCTTATAATGAGAGGCCCAAGGTTGAACTGGTAGGGTGAGTGAAGTGCTTCTCACCTTACAGAAGGGGTCTGTTTAACTCAGGGTTGAGGTCACTGTCAGGGCAATGTATATAAACAAATTGTTTCTGCCTTTACTGTACAGAGTGTAAATTGGAGACTTTGGTTCCAAGTGGAACCCAGCTGTTCATCTTTAAGAGCACATGAAGTCTGAATTAAACACAAGAGGAAACTGCACATGCTTTTAATGCAATTAAACTAAGTAATAGAATTTAAAAGGCCCAATAACCCTATTTTCTTTCTAATCAAAACTAATGAACTAATCAAAAATTCACAAGAATATTTTCCTGGAATATTTATCTAATGGCAATCAGTCAAAAAATAAGATATAGAAATTCAAAGACAAGTAACTTGCCTGAAAAATGTGCATTTAAAGTAATATTATTTGATTGATTAATTTGGTTTCAGAATGATTTTAAAGTTTACATATACATCCACCCTGCTGAAGATCATTTCGTATGTTGCCTTTCCAGCCACTGTTTTCCGTTGACCCTATATGTCTGTTTATGACACTGCAACCTGGCAACATCTCTTCGATTTTGTTTTTCAAAATGTATCTGTCTTTTTCATTTGTGTGTGCTGCATTTTGTCTGAGAACCATCTTATTTCAAATAGCATGAATTGTATCAATATGGAAGAGATAAGCAAACAAATCACAAGTCTGCCATCCTTATTCATTTTGACTACTCCTCAGGGAATAACATACTACTCAGCATACAGGACAAAAGTGATGAAAAAAGAAGACTGGAAAATATGAGGTTTGAAGGCCAGTTTTCAGACATAGATACAGACTTGGATTTAGGCCCCAACATGCAACCCTTATGCACATGAACACTGCCATTCAAGCTAGTGGGAGTCTGCCTTTAGTAAACATTTCTGGATCAGGCCCTTAGAGCACCAAGATTTTTGGAGTCAAAAGCTTATGTGTAACAATTTATTGTTGATCCAAATTACATCTGTCACTTAATCTACCTTGTCATGAGTACAAACACAGTACGGCTGCAAACATTTTCCAGGGCTGTAAATCTAATTGTTTTCCAGTGAGCAGACATTAGTTCTTTCAACTACATACATGTTTTTTAATAGGACCAACTCCTACAGTCCTGAATCTTTTGTCAGGCAAAATGTCTGTTGGCTACAATAAGAGTGAGGATTTCGGAATCTGGCCCTTTAGGATTAAGGTCATTATGGAAACAGTATTTTCCTCCCAGAATAGCATGCATACAAATCAAGATTAGAATCACTGTTCCAACTCAAAGTATTACAGTGAATTGTGCTTTTGATTCTGGAAGGCTTTATTCCTAAATTAAGGTCCAGCTAACATTAAGAACAGTTTGTGAAGCCTGCTCTCGATTAAGAAAATTCTTATTGGGGGAGGGTTTGCTGAAAACATAGTTCCCTCTAGAGGTTGAAAAGATGAAAGAACTTAATATTGTCTGCAGTGCAAATAAATTCCTACTTTTTGGATTTTTAAATTCGTTCCCTGTTTTCCTATACAGTTTTTATTTTATTTTATTTTAATATTGTCCCTTATGGATGTGTTATTGGTTCATTATATATCTTGGTATATCTTTTCATATTTTTGTATATTTATGTTAAGTAAAATGCAACAAAGATTTTAAATGAATATACTGCAACGTAAAATCTCATGAGGGACAAAACTCATACCAGAAAATTAAATGAAACAAATTAATATAAGATCTTCTTGCATGTTTTTTTTCTTTTGTTATTGAAATACAGGATGGAAATTCACCAACAGTGAATGGTGTCCTTGAGTGCCAAAGAGGATATATTAGAAAATGTAGATGAATAATAATAATAATTAATAATACTTTTTGGTTCTACAGGGATTTCTATCTGCATATCTCCAAGTGCCTGACAGATTAACAAATTAAGTCTCACAACACAACAACCCTGTTAGAAAGGTAAGTAAATATAATTATTTCCATTTTACAGATGGGGAAACAAAGGCACAGAAAGGTTAAGTGGCTTGACCGTGGTCACACAAAGGCCTGAGATAGAACATGGGAAAGAACTTTGATCTTCTTCCCCCCAGTGCTGTGCCTTAACCTCAAGATTACCCTTCCTCTCCTATGTAACTTTCCTCCTCTATGTCCATTTAAGTCATGAGTTCTCAGCTGGGAGGTCAGAAACAGGTGTCAGGGGTTACTCCCTTATTTGCTAAATGGGGGTGGGGTAGTCCCAGTTACATGGGAGAGGGCTTCCAGGGATATGTAAAAGGGCATCCTTTTACAGTATGGAGAAGGTTGAGAGAACCACTGAACAAGTCTATTTGGTATTTTCAGAGCTTCTATTTCAGCAGTTTCTGAAGTGTCAAGAGCAAATATTTTGTCCCAGGCATTCTCCTCTGGAGCAAGTTAAATATGTATAATGCTTTAAATATCTGTATGTATATCAAACCCCAGATGCACTCTTTTCTACAGAAATACAAGGTAATATTGACAAAGTGAGTGAAGGTGCGGAAAAAATAAACCAGCAAATCTCTCCAGAGGATTGGAAGAATATAAGGCTAACTACTCTGAACAGTACAAGTTCCCCTTCGTGGAGAGAATAACAGTGAGAAATTATTATTAGATATTTTTGCACAAGTGTTGTAAAACAAGAGACATAGCTGGAGCAGATGCCATGGTGTAGAGAATCATCTTCAGATCTTCCAGGACTGTGCCAAATTGAAAGGCATCTGGTCTCATGTTAGAAAACTGATACAGGACTCATTTCTAATATATCTGGTGTCGGAAAATGTATTGATTTCCTGAAATTAAACAAAGTTGGGTAGTTGCTTAGAGTTCTAAGACTGGGGTGAAATATAATTGGGAAATATAATTGGGATGAAATTTAGCAGTGCAAAGTGCAAGGTAGTGCATTTAGGGACTAACAATAAGAATTTTTGCTATAAGCTGGGGACATATCAGTTGGAATCAACAGAGGAGGATGAGACCATTAAAATGCAATCCTAGGATGCATCAGGCGAGACGTTTCCAGGAGAGATACAGAAGTGTTAGTACCATTATATAAGTCATTGTTGAGACCTCATCTGGAATACTGTGTGCAGTTCTGGTCTCCCATATTTAAGAAAGATGAATTCAAACTGGAACAGGTGCAGAGAAGGCTACTAGGATGATCAGAGGACTGGAGACCTACCTTACAAGAGGAGACTTAAGCAGCTTGGCTAGTTTAGCCTAACCAGACGAAGGCTGGGCAGGGAGGAGATATGATTGTTCTCTATAAAAATATTGCTCGAACATGCAGGAGTGTAATCATGAAGGCCAAAGCACAATTGGAGTTGCAGCTAGCATGGGATGTGATGGGTAACAAGAAGGGTTTCTACAGGTATGTTAGCAACAAGAAGAAGGTTAGGGAAAGTGTGGGACCCTTACTGAATGGGGGAGGCAACCTAGTGACAGACAATGTGGAAAAAGCTGAAGTACTCAATGCTTTTTTCGCCTCAGTCTTCACAGACAAGGTCAGCTCCCAGACTGCTGCACTGGGCAGCACAGTATGGGGAGGAGGTGAGCAGTCCTCAGTGGTGAAAGAACAGGTTAAGGACTATTTAGAAAAGCTTGACATGCACAAGTCCATGGGGCCGGAATTAATGCATTTGAGGGTGGTAAGAGAATTGGCTGATGTGATTGCGGAGCCATTGGCCATTATCTTTGAAAACTCATGGCAATAGGGGAGGTCCCGGACGATTGGAAAAAGGCAAATGTAGTGCCCATCTTTAAAAAAGGGAAGGAGAATCCATGGAACTACAGACTGGTCAGTCTCACCCTAGTCCCTGGAAAAATCACAGAGCAGGTCCTCAAGCAATCCATTTTGAAGCACTTGGAGTAGAGGAAGGTGATCAGAAAAGGTCAGCATGGATTCACCAAGGGAAAGTCATGCCTGACAAAGGCTGATTGCCTTCTGTGATGAAATAACTGGCTCTGTGGATATGGGGAAAGCGGTGGACGTGATATATCTTGAGTTTAGCAAAGCTTTTGATAGGGTCTCCCACAGTATTCATACCAGCAGTTAAAGAAGTATGGATTGTATGAATGGACTATAGGGTGGATAAAAAGCTGGCTAGCTTGTCGGGCTCAACGGGTAGTGATCAACGACTCAATGTCTAGTTGTTGGCTGGTATCAAGCGGAGTGCCCCATGGGTCGGTCCTGGGGCCAGTTTTGTTCAATATCTTCATTAATGATCTGGATGATGGGATATATTGCACCTTCAGCAAGTTCACGGATGACACTAAGCTGCGGGGAGAGTTAGATATGCTGTAGGGTAGGGATAGGGTCCAGAGTTACCTAGACAAATTGGAGGATTCGGCCAAAAAACATTTGATGAGGTTCAAGAAGGACAAGTGCAAAGTCCTGCACTTAGAACGGAAGAATCCCATGCACTGCTACAGGCTGGGGACTGACTGGCTAAGGAGCAGTTCTGCAGAAAAGGACCTGGGGATTACAGTGGACGAGAAGCTGGATATGAGTCAACCGTGTGCCCTTGTTGCCAACAAGGCTAATGGCATATTGGGCTGCATTAGTAGAAGCATTGCCAGCAGATCGGGGGAAGTGATTATTCCCCTCTATTTGGCACTGGTGAGGCTACATCTGGAGTACTGCATTCAGTTTTGGGCCCTCCACTACAGAAAGGATGAGGACAAATTGGAGAGAGTCCAGCGGAGGGCAACGAAAATGATTAGGGGTCTGGGGCACATGACTTATGTGGAGAGGCTGAGGGAACTGGGCTTATTTAGTCTGCAGAAGAGAAGAGTGAGGGGGGATTTGATAGAAGATTTCAACTACCTGAAGGGGAGGTCCAAAGAGAATGGAACTAGGCTGTTCTCAGTGGTGGCAGATAACAGAACAAGGAGCAATGGGCTCAAGTTGCAGTTGAGGAGGTTTAGGTTGGATATGAGGAAAAACTAATTCACTAGGAGGGTGGTGAAGCACTGGAATAGGTTACCTAGGGAGGTGGTGGAATCTCCATCCTTCAAGGTTTTTAAGGCCCGGCTTGACAAAGCCCTGGGTGGGATGATTTAGTTGATGTTGGTCCTGCTTTGAGCAGGGGGTTGGACTAGATGACCTCCTGAGGTCTCCTCCAACCCTAATCTTCTATAATTCTATAAATACATCAGAAGGATAAACACTAGGGAGGGAGAAGAGTTATTTAAGTTAAGGCCTAATGTTGTCACAAGAACAAATGGATTCAAACAGGCTATCAATAAGTTTAGACTTGAAATTAGATGAAGGTTCCTAACCACCAGAGAAGTGAAGTTCTAGAACAGCCTTCCAAGAGGAGCAGTGGGGGGCAAAAAAACCTAGCTTTTTTTTAAGACTGAGCTTCTAGCAACTAGACCAGCCAGCCAGCTTCCAGCAACTAGATCATGGTGGTCCCTTCTGGCCTTTAAGTCTATGAGACCTGCTGCTATTGAAGTAAATGACAAAACTCCCTTTGACTTCAGTTCCAGACTGTCAGTTAGGGGATGTGGCTGGGGAAAGGAGCCATTAACTGGTGCACTTGTTTCTGACTGTTCCAGGCAGCCAGTACAACTTAAAGCAGCATGAAGACTCCTCCAATTTACAGTAGAGCAAATGTTTCTTAAAGCAACCTGTGCACGCCCCCTCCTTTGTTATGTGCCCTCTGCATTTGTAGCTAGGGATCTGGATCCCTATCTTTATTTCCATCAGGGAATACCTACAGCATGCCTGGCTCCTTTTCACTGTCTGCTGGGAGCAGCAGTAACCAGTCCTGGAACTAGGGATTCCTCATTAGCCTTTCCTCGATAGGGTAACAGGGGCCTTTTCTCTCCTTCCCTTTTTACTCAATGGAATTATGGCAGGGATAAGTCTGGCCCAGTATATCTTATTAGAGAATCCTGAAAATATGCTATCGATCATTTGTGGTTGCTGAAGTTTTGAGAATAACGTTATTGTGCAGTAGTATTCCATCAGGACCATATGTCTGAATTATATTTCTTGGTCCTTTTCCAGTTTATACTGTATCCTGCATGAACGTTAAACTCTATCTACCTTACTCAAATGTCACTAGGAAAACATGGAGGAATAGTTTTTCATTTTTATGATGATACTAAAATTGTCAAATTTTGTTTATAGCATTTTCAGTTTCTAGTCATTTATCACCAGCTTCAGGAAAGCTAAGACTTATTAACTGCCTGAAGGAAGACTGTAAATCCTAACAGGGATGAGCCAAAGCATCTTTTTTAATGATTCAAAGTAGGAAAACGTGTACATATAATTATTTTTCCATTTGAAGTTCATTCCTCTTTAGTAGTACCACCTCTTCCAAGTGGAAATAATCACCTAGAGGAATATTACAAAGCATGTCAAGGATTTTTGCGTATGTTGCTACCCTTCCGATGCCTAATATTCATAAGGAAAATTATCACCTGTATTTCTGTAGTCAAGGCATGTCTTCAGCTGCTGCTGTGCCTTTGCCACGTCTTTGCCTTTCATTTCCAAACACATGGAGGTTAAAGAAGGTACTAGTTTTCTCTACAGACTGTAGTCCTGACTTCAGTAGATACTGCAGTGACAATCATTCGATATCTGAGGTATTATAGGTGGGTTGGTAGCACTGCCTATTATTAAGGTTGCCCGATAACGTCTCATTATAAGACCCAGTATTCAGTTGCCTATAACTTAGCTAAATTTTAACCATTTGGGCTGAAATTTTCCTTGCCTGGTGGCTACTTTAAGCTGAATTATTTTGAAATTTTCAACCAGAATGATTCAGCCATGTCCAAGAGTGAGACTAGGGAAAAATATGTTGTTTTCCCATGTTAAAAAATTCCAGCACCCTTTTCTTTGAACAGCTTTAGTGCCCCCAAGCTTTGGAGCAGGGTCTCCAGGACTACAGAGGTAAAGCCAGACTTTCCCTGTAATGGCTGCTCCCAACTCTTTCAGGCCAGGCACTAGGATGACCCCCCACTGCCGGCAACCAGGCAGTATGGAGGAGGAAGCTGTCTGAATCAAATGCAGAGGGAACAAAAGCTGGACCAGGGAGAGGGAAAGTAGTAGAATGAGACAAGAAGTCTAGTGAGATTGGGACTGGAGGAAAGGAGAGAAGCTGGGACTGATTGGGCAGGGAAGCTGGCACTAGCAGATGGGGTAGGAAGGGGCAGGCTGAAACTGGGCACGCATACTGGGAGTTGGTGACCCTCCCCCTAATTAGAATGAAACAGTCTGGTGCTTCCAGACTGGAGCACTTTCCTCCAAGTGTTCTCGACAATCTTGACGACACCCACTCAGCTGAAGCCACTGTACGGAAGCTCTGACAAGGACAGGGCCCGGCTACCATACACCGTTTGGTTTTGATGGCTTGCAGTTGATGTGGAATGGAATGAGGTGGCCCTGCTTTATCAGTTTCAGTGGGCTCCAGAATGAGATCAAGGATGAACTGGCCTGAATAGAGATCCCTACAAGCTTGGATGCCTTCATTGACTTAGTTATTTGTATTGACAACGGGTGCATGACCGAAAAGAGGAGAAAAAGGGGGTGTTGCAGCTGTCCTACCCACACCCCACACTGTCATCCACAGGCCCCTGAGCCCCTGC